TACCTCGTTTAAGAAATTGTTCATACGTAGAGCATGCTAATGCTTTTCGAATCAGCTGAGATATATATATACTCCGTATGCAGGTGATAAAGGTACATGTATATTGCTGCATTAGTATAGGAAGTTGACGATAGAAATGTTAAAGTCATCACGTTTATCATAAAGCTTGGTTGTTAGATTACAGTTAAAGTCTTTTTCAAGTAAAATATCGAAGTATGAAACAAATGTGTCAGACTCTGTGGTATCTTTTTTCTGAAGCTCACCAGGATATTACGTAGCGGCGGTTAAATGGAAATGACCATTGTTAATTGACAATGCGTCGTCGATATATCTAAATGTTGAGTTGAAGGCTACAACAAGCGTTTTCTTCTTTTCACTCATAAGTTTTGCACGAATTCTGCTTCATATGAATAGAAAAATAGGTCTGATTATAACTGAGTGCAATTCGTACCCATTTGAATTCCAATAGATTGTTGGATTACCTGGTCTCCAAAAACCAGATACTAGTATTGTCAATCAGAAACGTAAGCATCTCTTTGATGTCAACTTCAGAGTACTTGTATGTGCAATGTATCGCTCATTGGATTGATAATTATGCACATGTAAATGACTTCCTTACCCGCTGTCTTCTCTAATTAAACAAAGTCCTAATATTAAAAATATTGCAGGTTTTCTAGAGACAGAAATTAGATTACGTTGGCAAACATAATTTTTTATGGCAAACGATAGTTGAAGGTATTTTACATTAATTTCATTATGGGATCTGTAGCCTTATGGTCCAAGTCTATATTTGTCAATCAGAAAGTCAAGCATCTTTTTGAACTCAACTTCAGAGTACCTGTGTGTACAATCAGAATGTTTTTTAACAAATTAATTTTGCAAATGAGAGATGACAAAGTAAGTAAATTAACGAGATCCGTTTTTATTGAAAAAGCAGCTGTTATTGATATCAAGAAGCCTGGACTTTTATAAAACATGGGGAATGGTTCTGTATAAAATTGAAAAATCGTACGTTTTAAACCTGCTGATTATGGTAAAATCTTGTGATTTCAAATCGTCTAAAAAGCTCCTTGAAATTTTTAAGTATCCACATCTGATTAACACCACTTCTTGAATATATTGTTGCACAGTACTCTTGAAGTTACCTTCACCACTGTTTATATCTTAGTGAGTAGTAAAGAAAGAGGCTTAACATAATGACGGTAAAGGAAGCTTATGTCAGTCTTGATAGATTCCAGACGTAACTTACATGTATCTGTTTGATTTCATAAAACTATCTTGAAACAACGAAATCAAATATCATCCGGATTACGATTCCAGGAAAAAGACGTAACCTTTTTCTTTTATTTATCAACTGTAAAAATGAAGATAAGTGCCACATTGATTTCTGTAAACTGTTCATATTCATCAACAGGTGGAGTTACATAAATACTGTATGAAAGAATTCTTTTTACGTCAATGCCTTGGCGCACTGCGGGGACATCCCAAAATATTTTGTCAAAATATAAATCTCGCTTTTATTGGAAAAAATATTTCATTCTTAACTTGCAAGCGATTGAGACCCATCTTATACAAAAATGTTTATTCTACAAAGTTTATGCATGTTGTTTTGGCTGAATGTAACATTAAGTGGACAAGTCTCTGCTGATAGTAACCTTCTAGAGAAATCTATTATGGTCGGAAGTACGACGTCCGGAGGAAAAGTGTCCGGTGTTTTACGGGACATTCTGAACCAGGAGAGTCTAGTGAGGTTTTCTATGGTTCAGAGAATCCAGAACTTAGTAATGGACGTCATAGACAGCAAAAATAATTCTCAGGTGGTGGTGCAGAAAATGAAAATCTTGACCAAGGAGTTACAAGACCTGGAGACAAGAGACAACGGTATAGAAACAGAGGTTACAAAACTTAAACAGGTGTTAGAAGCTATGAATGAGACAGTACGAAGTTATCAAGATATGATGATGAACAAAGTTCGAGATTTAACAGAGAAAGAATTAGTTGAAATAAGAAATCAAACTTCAGTTCTCAAGGAAGAAAGCAGAGAATTACTGGCAGAATTTAAAAAATTGGAGAGGAGAGACAACGGTATTGAAACAGAAGTTACAAAACTTAAACAGATGTTAGAAGCTATGAACGAGACAGTAAGAAGTAATCAAGATATGATGCTGAACAAATTTCAAGATTTAAGGATGTACAACACACCTACCCCAAAAAAATTCCTGTCGTTTAATTTTCGTTATTTTTGTATATTTAGTACATGACTATATCTACTGCATGTATGCATATTTTGGACAAAATCGTTCGAGTGGTTTTTGGACAGGAACTTCCGAAAGTTACCCCCCTTTAGTTGTTTACAAGGAGAGAAATTTTTTAATCAATGAACTACTTAAACCTTGATTTTCAATAAAACCAGGTTAGATATAAATGTCAAATTTCATTGGCTTATTCCTTTAACCATTTAACACAAAAACATAGTCATCTTTTTTATATACATATCATCAAAACAATTTTTAAAGACCTTAAACTGAAAAACTATGAATTTTCTAAGCCTTGAAAATTGCGTATTTTTCAAATTCAAAATTTTTTTGTGAAAAAACCTGTCGTTTAATTTTTGTAAAAAACTTTCTTTAGGTAGGTGGTAGTAAAATTAATCTTAATAATTTTTTGCATAATTTTTGTACGACCAGTTTTGATTTAATAGCGGAAAATTACCCCCTCCCCCTTTCTCAATAAAACACGTTCCCGCGCGTCTTTCAGACGGGGGTCGATCACTTTTTTATATGAATCTACAAATACACATTTAAAAAATTAAATTGGAATATTTCTTTTGCTTCAAAAATATATTAACCTACAAATTTAAAAGTTCTCATATGTAAAGCGTATTTAAATGTAGATTTTTAGGCAATTTTTGAATACCCCTATCACCCCCACCCCTTCCTTTTTTGCGTCGCAGACCATTTAGCGTTTGACGAAACGTCGTTTACAGTGCAAATATACTGGTATTTTGTCAAGAATCCCGGAGGTATGCATTAGTTTTTAAATTCATGAATGCAGAATAAATATTGACTACTCTTTTTATATGTATCAGGAAAAAATTACTGAAAGATTTTAGTGTCTAGTCCATATACGTATGCGTTATGCATTCCATACTAGTATCTCATGAAACCTGGATACGAATTCAAGTTTTGTTGAACTTGAATATGTTGATTTTTAATTTTATTTCTTTAATTTTATTCATTAAAAAAATGGTGTATGTTCAACTCTCCTGTCCTGTGATATAAATGGAATAATTGTAGTTTCTTTCATGTCATCTTTTCAAACGAGACAGTATGTGGCCGTGGGGATACATCGACATTTGCATTAGATGTACATACACCCCTCATGATATTGTACGCATTTCTTTCAATGTCGTCGCTTCTAAAGTTAAAATGAAAATTCCGTATTCGTCCACATGAACATCAAAATATCAATAATTAAACTCTTCATCTATTTCAATTTATATCAAATCGCACATTGATATTTTCTAAAATCTTATAGGCTACGTTTTGTTTTGATTCGAGGAAATGCGAACCGACATTGTTGACAGAAAGTCAGTTACGATTTGCTGCAATAGGATATTCATGAATGCAGATAATTTCAGTACAAGTAAACAATTCTTTTCAATTCTATACTTACATTGTGCATTTGAGGTCTATAGTATTCAATTCTCGGATTTATCAGGTCTTGCTGTGTATAGATTGATTCTGTGGAAAACCGTGAATAAAGGGAGGAAAATAAACATCTCCTACATTTTCAGAGTTGTTCCTCTTTGATCAGTAAGGGTCTGAGAACAACATCGATTTTACATTGTAACAAGTTTTTTGTTTATTTATTGTTGTTTTATTTAATTAAAGAAGAAAAACAATATTTATATTGTGTATGCACAAATTGTAATGAAGACCATTAATCGGAATGTTATATAGCCAATTGTACATAATGAGAATTTCGGCAAAATAAAATTTTAAGAATAAAAAAAAAATGCTGCGCTTTGATCAAAAATACAATTTTTTGTATATGAAATGAAATGAAATAAACATTAAGGGATGGTATTTTAAGTCTTGCTTTTTACGGAGTTTAATCGGGTTAATTAAAAAATACTAATTAATTGAGTATGATACGCACAATCACAGCCAAGCTCCATATCCCAATTTTCTTTCATGATTGATATACATCGGGATCGTTTTACTCGTCGTTTTGACGCTTTATTTCTGACGTTAAATTTGACGTTACGTCAAACGTTCAATTGAAATCGCAAGAGTTATCTCCCCCAGTGTGTTGTACGTCTTTAACAGAGAAGGAATTAGTTAAAATAAGAAATCAAACTTCAGTTCTCAAGGAAGAAAGCAGAGAATTACTGGCGGAATTAAAAAAATTAGAGAGGAGAGACAACGGTATGGAAACAGAAGTTACAAAACTTAAACAGATGTTAGAAGCTATGAACGAGACAGTAAGAAGTAATCAAGATATGATGCTGAACAAATTTCAAGATTTAACAGAGAAGGAATTAGTTAAAATAAGAAATCAAACTTCAGTTCTCAAGGAAGAAAGCAGAGAATTACTGGCAGAATTAAAAAAATTGGAGAGAAGAGACAACGGTATAGAAACAGAAAATACAAAACTTAAACAGATGTTAGAAGCTATGAACGAGACAGTACGAAGTAATCAAGATATGATGCTGAACAAAGTTCGAGATTTAACAGAGAAGGAATTAGTTAAAATAAGAAATCAAACTTCAGTTTTCAAGGAAGAAAGCAGAAAATTATTGGCGGAAAACAGAATTATCAAACATCACCTGCAGATGCAGAATGAGACCCTGTATGAAGAAATTCAGCAGTTAAAGAACAAAGAATCGGACGTCAGAAATAAAAACCGAAAATTGTAAACAGAAAATCGTCTCTTTAGAGAACAGTTAAATGATCTGAAGAACACACTGAAAGATTTGAAGAGGTCCGTAAATGAGGAACGATTTAATAAAATAGAAAACTCCCTAAAAACATTTTCAATATCCATCAATGATACATTAAATGGTTTACTTGAGGAACACACAATTCTAAACCTGCAGTTTATTAATATCTCCACCTCTTTATCTGCTGGTAAGTTTCCTTAAGTTTTAGTTTCAGGTTTCGTCAAAGGGCAACATGTCCAAAAATTTATTTTTACAATAGCCCAAAAACTATGTTGGTATAAAGTTAAAACTTTTACAGTTTATAAATTTTTTATTGATTAACAGACAGAAAGTATCACCTGATAAAAAATACTTGGAATAATATTAATTGAGAATTTTTTTTCCCTAAAAATGCATATACTTTTAAAAAAAACACACCTAATTTATTCCGTGCTTTTAGTGAAAACCATCATTGCAGAAACAAAATATGTTTATCAATGAAGGGCAAGTTGGACTTTGATAGCCTCTGGAAAGTTGTTTTCCCTGTTTATTTTGTCCAAATGTTAAGACTTGAAAGTGAAAGTACACTGCAAATGGCGGATTCTATAGGGGCCTTGTCTTTATACATGTCATGCTTTCAGTAACAGCCTTTCAGAGACTGTTCACGTCCAACTTGCCCTTCAATGATAAACATTTTTATTTCTATGTTGGTTTTCACAAAAAGGACAGAATTAAGTAGGTGCATCTAAATATGCACATTTTCTGATACAATTTTTCTCAAAAATTATCTTTTTTAAAAATATTTGTTATCAAGTAATTATTTCTATCCATTAATCAATGATAAACTGCAAACGTTTTGAATTTTGAAGTAAAACTCGTTTGCATTAACATTTATCGTACCATAATTTTTTTCCCAGATGAACCAAAGAACTTAAATCGGTAATAACCAATATTTGCCACCAAATCAAACTTTGATGGAGATATATTTAATTAAAATCTTAAACAAGGGGGTATATGCTGACACCAAAGCACTGAATATTTTCATAAGTAATGACGCCATATGTACATAATGACGTCACAAACATGACGTAAATTTAAGTTTTTTATGAATTTTACAGAAAAATGTACATATTTTGTCAATATTTTGAGTAAAAGTCACCGAGCGCATGTGTGTTCAGGATCAATATTTTGATATAATGTGTAGATTGATTGATTGTATATTGTTTAACGTCCCTCTCGAGAATTTTTCACTCATATGGAGACGCCACCACTTGCCGGTGGAGGGCTACAAATTTTGTCCTATGCTCGGCACTCAGGGCCTTTGAGCAGTGAGGGATCTTTTTCGTGCCAACACCTACTGCGACACGGGGCCTCTGTTTATACGGTCTCATCCGAAGGACCGGTCTCCATGTCCCACATTGGGATTCAAACCCGCGACGTAAAGATTGACTCCTTACTTCGCGACTCTAGAGCACTCTAACCACTGCACCACTCGGGCGACCGATATAATGTGTAGAATGACAATATCAATGAAATATGTCAATTTTGTTCCTGAACAAACTTGCGCTCTATAAATTGTAAAGCTAAAATTGTTAAAATTTTGTCCATTTTGTCCTCTTTCTGAAAAAGGATATAAAATCGGACTAGTTTGTGACGTCATAAAATCAAAAATTGTGAATACACTGCTTTGACACTATAATATTTTCTGTTAATTTATATTTCTCATACAATTTATTGAATTCAGCACATTTCAGGAAGTTTTCAAAATTTGACTTTTGTGGGGGCAAATAAATGCAATATACCGCATATAGTTCTTTATCCTAACTTGTGCCATGAGATACATGTATATAAAATGTAGATACGTAAAGTAATATACGTATAAGAATTTACTTTTTACACAATTTTACAAGCAACATTTTTGATATGTATACTGTAGACAGGGAAATTTTCGCCCGTTTTTATTTTCACCCCTTTCGCCCTACCCTCATATGGGCGAATTTAAAACGGGGCGAAAAGAAATAATTGAGTATATTTTTTCTTAAAATAAAACTATGAATGGGCGAATTTAAAACGGGGCAAAATTGTTTGCAAGTGTTATAGGGCGAAAATTAAACGGGGCGAAAATAACCCTGTTTACAGTACCTTCATATAAATCAGTATTTTTGGACTGGGTTTTTTTTTTGACATAAACTTTTTAACTTTATTTTTTTTTTTACAAAAATTAAATGAAATATTCAAAACTATAAAATTATGGATCATGTTTGGTGTTCTTCAAATTTATTTTAGGCCGGTGATGCATATATTGATGCGGATATTTTAAATGTTTTCTCTATTGTCTATTTTACTTACTTTTTTTTAGTAAAATCAAAAGTGTACCCAAAGGATTGTTACAATATTCTTGAGCAGAATAAGTTGTTAAAAGGAAAAGATGGCGTCTATGACATTTTGATTAATTCTGACATCACTTCCGTTTTTTGTGACATGACTACAGATGGAGGCGGATGGACGGTAGGTACAAATAGGTTAAGTGACACAGATTACTGCGTGTGTGATTATGAGAAAGGTTTGTATGTGTGTGTGTGTGTGTTAATATGAAAGTAATTATATCTTTGTGAATTTTCACATGGAGGTTTGTATTAATATTGGTATGTTTATATGTACGTTTGTGTGGGTATACATGTGTGTTTATATGTAAGTATGTGTGAATATGTGTATGTTTATTTCTGAATATAAATGTATCTTTTATGTGAAGTTAGTTTACATGCATCTATGTTTATTTGTAAGGTTTTCTCTTTATGCATGTATAATTATCTAAGTTAATTTTAAAAGAAAATAAAAAATAGGCCGGTGAGGTATTAGCAGAAGATAAATAAAAGATTTCTACCATATTTATAGGTTATACAGAAGAGAATAGACGGATCAACTGATTTCTATCGAACTTGGGAAGAGTATAGAAAAGGTTTTGGGGATCCAAAGAACAACTATTGGATTGGTAAGAATACATATACAATGTATACAATGTACTTTGAAATACAACAAAATATTGTTTATATTTATACCACCTGCTTGTAGTTGAGGGAAACATAGAAAAGTTTGACCCTATTAAACCAATTGTCAACGGAAAATGACCCAACGTTTACAGTGACTTTCGAGGGATGGAAATTTTTACATTGTTACCTTCCGCTACTTGTCTTTTTTATTATAGAACACTGGCTCTTCCATACAAATAAAGAAAGTTAGGCACGCGAATTTATTTCTTTTCTACCAATTATATACAGAGCATATTAGATGAATAAACAAAATTGATTTTCGCTGCATGTAAGTTTGTTTTTTCTGTTTTGTTTTTCTTTGATTTTTTTTTCATGAACAGCAGTAGCATTGTTTTAGATTTTAATTTTCATTTCTTCATGTATCTTTCGGGTTCAACCCAGTTTTTGAACATATGTAATACTGAGATCAAAGTAGTACATGTTTACTGTCAAACTGTCAGACACTATAGGGTTATTGAACTTATATTGGTGAATATTGGCACGAGTTGGCTGTTCAAATGCACGAGCTTGCGAGTGCATTTGAACAGCCAACGAGTGCCAATATTCACCAATACAAGTTCAATAACTCCTTTATTATATAGCTAAAACATTTCAACATAATTTATAACAATTATTCCAACTTAAAAAACCCTCAAATTAATGATTTTTTAGTATCGGTATTCAAATTAACGTCTGTCGTGTTAACGTTCAATATCGCATCAATCCAATGACCCTACCGAGCGATATGATTTGCTTATTTACGTTTAAATGGGTCTTATACGTACTGTATTTTAATAAATAATTTCATTTTTGTGTGAAAAATAAACACATCTTACCTAGATACCACTTCCTTTCTTTAATTTAGCTCTGAGAATTTGAACAGACGAATTTTTTTAATTACAGCGGGGCGTTCGATATTGAACGCTCGTATTCGGAATGTTTCGGGCACACTCATATTCGTAATACAAAGTTAGCGTTCAATAAAACGTCAAGATATTGAACGTTAAAATTCTCTAGATTTTTGGTAGTATTTTATTAGAGACTATTTATTAGCTATATAATAAAATGTGTTATCATGCCTACACGTCTTAATTTACCAACAATTTTAAGTTGCAATCTCCATTGAAAAGTGTAATATTTACAATAAACTTAACGAAGAAATAACTGCAACAAAACAGTCAAAAAGCAATGACAAAAACAACTTGTATCGTAAATAAATTAGCTATATAGTAATCATGAAAATTTCTTATGTAATAGGTCAGAAAAATGCTTTAGTCAGCAAATATTATTCTCACAGTTTACACTTTCATTTAAAACGGTGTAATTTATTTACAGTAATAGAGAGAAGATACATACAACAGAGTGACACACAAAATGTCCCAATCAGAGTATCCTATCCCAGTGCATTTGTACTCAAGTATCTTTTTGTACTCTAGTTTCTTAGTTACTCTACACCCTTCGGTACTTTAACCTAAAAGGTGTTAAAGTCTTTTTTCGTACTGTGTCTTTTTATGTATACTCTTTCTCTAAATTTACTCTATTCTTTGGTACTCTACTATCTTTGGTACTCTACTGCCATTGGTACTCTACTGTCTTTGGTACTCTACTCTTTTTGGTACTCTACTGTCTTAGGTACTCTACTCTCTTTGGTAATCTACTCTCTTTGATACTCTACTCTCTTAGGTACTCTACCCTCTTAGGTACACTATTTTCTCTTTGAACACCTAGCTTTTTGTAAGACAGTCTTGCTCATGCATACAAAGTGACAGTGATTTTAATTTATGCATTAAAAATAATAAATATTTATTTAAAGTCTTTGTTGATGTACCCGACTTTAAATAAATATTATCTTATCTTTTAAATATATAGAACATTCCTTTTAAAAAATTCAATTACAAAATGTGGACATAACACGAAATTCAAGATTCAAGAATGTTCTAGAAAAAAATGACTATAATCCTTGACCACTCTTGAATATTCAAGAAGTTTCTTTCTGTTACTCAATATAGACATGACTAAACAAACATTATCAAATTATCAGAAACCTCACGACACTTTGTCGAAATGAAAACTTTTAAGATTTAATCAACATTGATTTTGTATTGGTTTGATTTACAAAACAAGTTATTGAAAATGGTCTCACTTTTTATGCTGTTATATTGCTTTTAACACAATCTCTCCAAAAAATAGGAACGTCCGATTCTAACTGTTTTGTATTAAAGAATGTAAATCTAAGCATTGAATTCATATTTTGGGATGTCTTCGGTCCTATAACACACCTGGCTGTGCCGACAATTTGAATACCATGTGTTAGCGCGATTAATTTTGTTAATCTTTAAAGGGAATTTAGCGCCCTTTAAAACTGGTTTGCTTTATATATAAACGTAAGAGCCGTTTATGACGTTTTGACGTCGTAAATTTAAATAACGCAAACGAACATTGCGAGGAAAAAAGTGACAAATTAATATTAAATGCACATCTGTTGTATTTTTACGTTAATTCAACAGTGTTAATTTCTTTTTATTAAATTATGTCAGACACTGTACATTTTGATGATCATAAAGTATTGGAAATGCATAGAGTACCTACTGTTTATTCTAACGCGTGGTGACAAGGTTTCGCGTGTGTTATAGAGATTTGAATGTCATGGAACAATATTCAATATCAAAGTCCACAAAACAATGCAAAATAGGAGCAGAGCTAAACATCAGAGGTGGGATCAGGTGCCATGGAGGAGTGAGCATCCCCTGCTGACAGGTCACACCTGTCGTGTGCTCCTTGTTATGATTGGGAAATAACGGAAAAATCCGTCGACAATTTTGTGAATAAATAATGGGCTAACAATAAGTATAAAAAACGTCAGTCAGCATTTGACTCAATGTTGAATTGTATTTGCTGACAAGGTCACAGAACTTATAAAATTACAAAATAATGATTTTAAACGAGACTGCTGATATTCTTGTTTCATCAACTTGTTTGTCAATAATTTACCTCGTTTTAGAATTTGTCCATACGTAGAGCATGCTCTTACGTATTGAAGAATTTTTTATATAAACACCTTATAAAGGTGATGAAGGTATATATTGCTGCATAAGTAACCCCCCGTTCACACATAGACGCCGCTTCTACTACGATCAAAGCGTGGCCAAAAGCTTAGCCGATCGTGACAAATCGCAGGAGAAACGTCGTGGAGTCGTCATAAGCGTAGTATGATCGCAGTAGGGTCTTCATGATCGGAGAGCTCTACGCTCTCACCACGCTTATTTTGAACATGTTCAAAACAAGCGTAGCGGGATCGTGGCCAACAAGAATCGGGGTTAAGTCGTAAAAAGAGCGTAGTAGAAGCGCCGTAATCGTACAAGCAGCGCGGAAGCATCGTAGAGAGATCTTCGTGATCGTAGTAAAAGCGCCGTAAGAGCGTAGGAACTTACCAAGTACGCTCATACAACGCTCCTTCTATGTTCATACTACGTTCTCTCTATGATCTCTCTACGTTCCTGAAGATCCTACGAAGACCTACAATGACCTTACGCCGATCATATCACGACCTAGCAGAAATGAGTTTGTTCTTATAGCGCTGATATTTGACGAATCATCATCTATAAACTACATGTAAAGGGTGACACTATATTTGATAATAATTTGCCACTGAGACTTTTCACATCTTGTTACAGTTACAATTGAAAATGCCTGTAAACCATGTCGTAAAGCCCGCAAAAAAAAAACTGCGGTTGCAAGATATGTATCATCGCTAAACGGTTGCAAGATATATTTACATCATTGCCAAAATCGTACTAGAAGCGTAATGCAATCGTAATATGATCGGCGCCACCGTAGCGACATCGCGGTACAGTCATTTAGGTCTGTGTAGCGTCGTAGTATGGTCTTCAATGTCGTAGTGGCAGCGTAGCGTAAACGCAGTAAACACGGCTGCTTGTCGGCAACGGTCTGCGTAACATCGTAGTAGAAGCGTGTTGACGTAGGGACATCGTAGTACGGTCGTAACGAAGACCAAATTTCTCTATTTAGACGCCGATCGGCTGCGATCTGCCCCGATCCAAAAAATTTTCAGATCGTGGCTTGATCGGGATGATCGCCGTAGAGTCGCAGCTCTGTGTGAACGGGGGGTAAGGGAAGTTGACACGTTTATCATGGAGCTTGGCTGTTAGATTATCATAATTTTTTTATATAAATTATTTCAAACAATTAGGATAAAATCGTATTCTAATCAATAGTCATAAACATTAATTTCAATGGTTTTTTCTAATTGTCATTAAGGAAATAATGCAATCCACGTATTAACCAAAGATAAGGACCAGGAGCTGCGAGTAGATCTCCAGGCATTTAATGGGGACACAGCGTATGCTGAATATTCCACGTTTTATATCGGAAACCAGCCTAATAAATACCGACTCACAGTATCTGGATACACGGGAACTGCAGGTAAAAGTATTTTACATAACCTTGATCTGAAGACTTTTGTAAAACAGCTGTTTAATAGAGATTCTGACTAGGGATGTCAATGAATATTCGAATATTCATTTGATGAGTTGATATTCGAATATAAATTTATGATTCGAATATTCGGATTTTAAGTATACAAGCATCAAAAGAAAAGCAAATCTGGCAAAAACTGAAGTTTTATCAGAAATTGAATCAAATTCTTATCGTTTTTATTTAAAACAAAATTAAAATACACTCCTCTTGAATTACCTTGAAGGTGTGAAGAGTGTATCGATTAAAATAATAAAAATTATTCATTTGATCATTTAATTAGAGGTATAACAGTGTCCAGTACTTAGAATTAGTTTGCATTGTTGAAAGGACACATTTTTTTAAGTAACACACATGGATCCCTTGTTTATGTATGTATCATTTAAAATCATTATCAGGAAAATAATAAGCGAAAAGTAATTGCTTTTAATGTTTCTCCATTAGATAATTGTTCTGTGTTGTATAAATCTGTAGGGTTATCAGTGTACACTTTGGTTAGATGATCAAGTAATCTGGAACTTATTAAAAGAATCTTTTGAATTTTCGGTGGAAATTTTTCTTATTATATTTTGGATGTAAACTCTTCATATATTCTGCAAAATATTTTAAGAATATACATGTAATTATAGTGCATTTACAAAACACACATGAAATTTTATTCCAAAATAATGACATAAAACGTATATTGCTTGACAAAAGAGTGAAGATGTATGCATATTATAATGAAAGATGTATTTGTCTTATCGAATATTCGAATATATTCGAATACTACTATCGAATATTCGAATATCAATCATTGACAATTTTGACATTCCTAATTCTGACATTAACCTGTTGCAGCGCTGTGTCATGATCTGATGTCAAATAGTATCAATTATGTTTATAAAGAAAAAATATCACGAAAATACAGGCATTTCTGTAGAGGAAAGGCATTAGATAAATATAATTCAGAGCTAGATTGAAGCACATTTGCCTTTTCGAAAAGCGCCAATTTCAAAATCGTATTTTAAGACACCTTTCGGTCATATGCATGTACATCTTTTAAATTATTCTAGTTCTTAACATTTTTTATCATCACACCTGTTAAAAAGCATTCTTCAAAAATTTGTTTTATTTGGTATAAATTTAAATTAATTACAGTTTTTTTGCAAAAACCTATGACATCATATCAGGATGAAAATAGTTCAATGTGAAAAATTCCACCATACCATACGTTTCAGTAACCATGCATTGCGTATCATGTATTGCACATGAAATGGTATTTACTTAAGCATTAAATTCATATTGTGGGATGTCTTCGGTCCTATAACACATCTGGCCGTGCCGACAAATTGAATACCGCGCGTTAGGGCGGTATGATAATCATAAAGTATTGAAAATGCATATAGTTCCTACTGTTTATTCTAACACTCAGTGACAAGGTTTTGCGTGTGTTATTTAAGCATTGAATTAATATCTTTGGATGTCTTCGGTCCTATAACACACCTGGCCGTGCCGACAAATTGAATACCGCGCGTTAGCGCGGTATGATAAATTTGTCGGCACGGCCAGGTGTGTTATAGGACCGAAGACAGCCAACAATATTGATTCAATGCTCATATTTACATTTTCTAATTTTCCTTCTTCATAATTGCTTATTTCGTTAATTTTTAATGTGAATTTAGCACCCTTCAAAACTTACTTGGCAAATAGACGTAAGAGCCGTTTGTGACGTCAGACGACGTTGCAAAGTTAAATAACGCAAACAAACATTGCGAAGAAAAAAAGTAACAAAAATTTTAAACGCACATTTGTAGTATTTTTACGTTAATTCAACAGGATTATAGTTTTTAATTAAATTAAGTCAAAACTTTGTACGTGTACATTTTGGTGTTCAGAGATTATAGAAAATGCATTTAGTTCCTACTGTGTATTATAACGCGCGGTGACAAGGTTTCGCGTGTGTTCAAATACAAGATAGAATAGATAGAAATTTGAATGTCGTGGATTTCTAATGAATTTCATAAGGAAAAATACACGGAATGTAATTATAGAGATTTGAACGTCATGGATTTCTAATAGATTTCATAAAGAAAATTACACTGAATGTAAATATAATCATATATTTACATCTGCAAATGTTTGCCTTCATATAACACTCCTGGAAGCAATGTGTATCTATAACTGTATAAATACTGGTACTGGGTCAAGAGATCATAGATATGGATAATCGTTCGTTATAATTTCTCAGTGACATCATAAAAGGTTGATGAGCGTTCAGTGGATTGTATAAATGCCGTTGGGTTTGACAAATAATGCATTTGACACGTTAAAAGTCGCAATCAGGCAAATAAAAAGTACGGATAAGTCACAAATGTAAATATAAGTAATAAGGTATCATTTTAAAACATCTATCTGGCTATAAATACGGGTTGGTACGAGATTAAATTCACCATGAAACCCGAAGGGCTTTATGGAATATAATCTCGTGACCAACCCGTATTTATATCCCGATATATGTTTAATTTAACCTTTTTTCTGCCAACGTAAATTTTTGAATTGGCAAAAAGAAGTAACGTCACACGTAAATAACGTTACAATAGTTGTGACGTTATTGAAAATTGCGGGTTAACGTTGTTTCAATGACGTGATTTGCACCTGCGTTATGTAAAATTTTAACAGAGGAAGATCCTGTTTCAGCGCATGATCTGAGACAAAGTATATATTTTTTTTATTCAAAGAAAGAGACATTTCAAAAACAAATGTGTTGTTTGAACATAACCTCATCTCCAACACGTACACTGCTGTACGGTCGATTCCTTACTTTTTAAACTAAATTACGCACTGATCGATAATTTGGTTGATCTACTGTGAAATATTTACATTCCGTTTATTTTTCCTTATGATGTTCATTAGAAATCCACGACATTCAAATTTCTATAACACACGCGAAACCTTGTTACTGCGCGTTAGAATACACAGTAGGAACTACATGCATTTTCTAAAATCTAGGAACAATAAAATGTACAATGTTTTGACTCAATTTAATTAAAAACTATAATCCTGTTAAATTAATATAAAAATGCTACAAATGTGCGTTTTAAATTGATTTGTCACTTTTTTCCTCGCAATGTTTATTTGCGTTATTTAACTTTGCAACGTCATCTGACATCACAAGTGGCTCTTACGTCTATTAAACACGTCAGTTTTGAAGGGCGCTACATTCACATTAAAGATTAACGAAATAAGCAATTATGAAGAAGGAAAATTAGAGAATGTAAATATAAGCATTGAATTCATATTTTTGGCTCTCTTCGGTCCAATAACACACCTGGCCGTGCAGACAAAGAAAGACTGCACTTAAGCTATGAGAGTTGGAACCCGGTGTTTTTCCGCAAAATAAAATTCCAAAATTCATTCAATTTATGTTTTATAGGTATTAAACAATATCTTAAGAGCAGGTTTTGGTATATTATATAACATGAAAGTATTAAACAATGCCGAGCGACACCAGCTTTTGAGACGGGGGTCTAGTAGTTTTGTCTCATTTCTATTGTTATTCATATGCATACCAGTTTTCAACGACTTTGTTTACATCGAGTCGCAACTTGACCATTTTTTCTTATTTGCACAGAATGTGTATTTTAACTTAAACTTATACATATCCAAAGGACAATGTTGGTCAAGTTGCGGCTCATATCTAATTTAAAAAAAAATGTCCCCAAACTAGGGTCGAGATAACTACTAAATTAACCGGTCACCGTGCATCAACGATTGATATTATAATCACCTTAATCAGGTGACATTCTGCTGTTCGATACGCTAATGCTTTCATTGAACATTTCATTGTGTGTAAGTCTCTGTTGTGACAGTATCTATTGTACTTCAAACTATGGGATATTTTTGCGCAAATTTTAATAGGGTTTGAAGATAATATGTCTCTTATTTAACTTTATGCTTTACATTAGGGGTGTTTGGAAAGAAATCTGGTATTGACAGTGTCAATAGTAAGTACGTGTATCTATAGGCTTATGTCGCCTCAGTATTGTGGTCTGTAGAGCGAGACATCTACCCCATCCCTTATCATCAGAATCATTTCATAATTGTGCACCATAAAATCAACAAGATCTCTCTCTTCTCCATTTAAATTCGTAGTGCGAAAAAAATCATATGTGCTAATGTTTACATTCCACAACCATGCGGTTTAAATGACTCCGCCTATTTGCGGATACCTTAGATTCGAAAGTGGTCCCGTTCAAATTTCCGGAATTTAAGGCTTTTACATGTTCTTTTCAATTACATTTTCTGTAATTATAGAAATATGTATGACAAAAAATTCTAGAAATAAATATCACAAGCATGTGCTTGCACATTAATCATAGATTAATTTATTGATATATTGTAATGTTAAGCTTAAAATGGGTAGACAAAAAGGTTCCAACTCTCATAGCTTAAGTGCAGTCATTCTTTATCATACCGCGCTAACGTGCGGTATTCAATTTGTCGGCACGGCCAGGTATGTTATAGGACCGAAGACAGCCAAAAATATGAATTCAATGCTTAGGTGTAGGTAGTGGAAAATGGATGTATTATAGCCATCAAAAATTATTTCGGAATATGAATTGGTAAACTTTCCATTTTGTATACTGGTATGTATTTACAATGTACGGAAGATAAATACATTGTTTAAAGATAAAAGTACTCTGAAAGCATTCTGTATGAAATGTTATTTTTTATTCTAAACAAAAAAATGAAATACTTCATTTACTTATAAACCAGCTAGTCTGAAACTCTACACTGATAAGAAGACCGTGTAATATAGAGGTTAACGTCTTAATCAAGAAATTAAAAACCTAAAACAAATCGCGTGTATTTTATTGCTATATCTTGTTGTCTAAAGAATTCAAATACTGTTAGGATATTTTTGTCCTCCTGACAAGCCAAACCTTTATGCCATTAAATACATGGAA